AGGAAATTGTACCCTACACGTTCCAAAAACTTCCCGGATTGTCTGTGCACCGCTGTATTGCTCTCCCAGCAGATATCAGGGTGATTAAAGTCTCCCATGAGAACCAGGGCCTGCGATCTAGCAACTTCTGCTAGTTGCCAGAAGAAAACCTCATCCCCCTGGTCTGGTGGCCTATAGCAGACTCCAACCACGACATCACCCTTGTTGCTCACACTTCTCAACTTTATCCAGAGACTCAGGTTTTTCTGCAGTTTCATACCGGAGCTCTGAGCAGTCATACTGCTCTCTTACATACAACACAACTCCCCCACATTTTCTGCCCTGCCTGTCCTTCCTGAACAGTTTATATCCATCCATGACAGTACTCCAGTCATGCGAGTTATCCCACCAAGTCTCTGTTATTCCAATCACATCATAGTTCCCTGACTGTGCCAGGACTTCCAGTTCTCCCTGCTTGTTTCCCAGGCTTCTTGCATTTGTGTATAGGCACTTAAGATAACTCATCGATCATCCCTCTTTCTCAGCATGAGCCAGGAGTCCTCCCCTCGTGCGCTCTCCTGCTTGTGCTTCCTCCCAGGTATTATATAGGAGCATTCTTCTCTTTGCCCAGCATTTGGTTTTCCTTTTTTCCTCCTTGGCACACATGGAGAGGAAAGCTTCATTGTTACTTTATAACAGCTTTCCTGTCATCTTTATTAATTGAGACAATTGTTTTGTTTATATTTGCAAATGACCATATTGTTTTCATATATCTACCTATTAGTGGGCTGTCTATTCCAGATTAGCCTCTCAGGTAATTTTCTACCTGCAGATATAGTCAAAGAAGGATCCTGTTTATCTTCTGCTTTCTTGAACATATCTGACATTTTGAACAGAACATTCTGCTAACCCTTTTGACATGAGATATTTTGGCATCCATGTATCATGCTCAAACTGCAAATGTTTTGGGGAAAGCTTTAAATTTTGGATCATTGTCTGAAAACACTTTGTCAGGGTTTCCAAGTTTTGCAAAGAGATTTCAGATAATAAATCACTGTCTCAGTCAGTCCTGTAGAAGACAACTCAAAATTGCCACACTCAACTACCACCACAACATAAAAAGTATTTACCTCCTAAGTAAAAATGGTTAATCTGTCCATTTTGTGAAGGTGTTTCTGTAACTTATTGAGGACTCTGGTTCCTTCGGCTATCGTGACCAACATATTTGACACAGTGAACAGACCACAGCTATGTCAGCAGACTGTATTTATACAAGGCTAGTAAAGGATTCCTCAAACTCTGTTTTTGCATTATTGCATACTACAACCTTCTTTATGAATGTGACAAAACATTTCCTCTTTCCTCATATTGTCTGGAAACACTAATTTTCCATTTTAACCAACAACAAATGTTAATTCATCATGAAGATATCAATGATGAATTAGGGATTAAAGACAGGTTTCAGAGTAGCAGCCGTGTTAGTCTGTATCCGCAAAAAGAACAGGAGTTGGTAAGACAACTCCCACCTGTTCATGCTCTGTGTGTGTGTGTGTGTGTGTGTGTGTGTGTGTATATATCTCCTCAATATATGTTCCACTCTATATGCATCCGAAGAAGTGGGCTGTAGCCCACGAAAGCTTATGCTCTAATAAATTTGTTAGTCTCTACGGTGCCACAAGTACTCCTGTTCTTTTTAGGGATTAAACACCTTCCTTTGTCTTTGGCCATCCCCCTAGTATCCTCCCTTGTACTTCTGCATCCTCAGAAGGTTTCTGTATCAACTTCTATATTTAGTCAGTAGAGAATGTTCAATTTTCATTAACCACCTGCACTTATGCCTCTGTCACATTACATACTTGCCTCCTTGTCTACTAAACGTGTCCTACGTCATGTATATACGACAAATACAGCTGGAAGATAGCTGTAAATTTTCAGTGATTTATTGCTCAAAGCAAAAGCAATTGGTACACCATCCAACAATAAAGCAGTACCCAGTCTAGCTTGCAGAGTCAGAATTACTAGTTTGTTTTGATCAAAATAATGCATCATAAAAACTAACAGATTACCCCACAGCCATTCAGCCTGCAATAACTCCTTAAGAGCCTGATTCTGCATTTCTTTATCCATCCAAAACTTCAGCTGATTTTAGTTTGAATTTTGGGAGGGCAAGTAAATCAGGATCAGTTTATGCAGTTACTGTGGGCACTTGTGTCAAGAATTTGTAAATCTGTATAACCATTCCTGTGAATTTTTGAGATTTCACACCAATCCCTAATTGAGTATTTTCCACCGATGATTTTAAAAACAGCATTAATTTCCCAGATATTTTAGTTCTAATGTTGCTGTATGTCATTTTCCAAATTTTTTTTTAACTCTCTAGCTTTCTCCCAAACCAGAATAAGTGGTAAAAAAACAATTTCCTTTAAACACCTCAATTACCTTCCTGGGAAACAATTCTGGTACACTAGAAATGACAAAAGATAAACCAGAGAAAACAGTTTCTGCCAAACAGGGGCATGCACAAGGGGGGCAAGCAGGTGCACAGTCTCCTCCTCGCCCCCCCAAACAGCAGAGGCACAGAGCCCCTCCAAAAGCAGTGAAATTTGAATTCCTGCACATGCCCCTGATGCCAAATGAGACGTACAGTGAACTGTTCTTGCCCAGGGATTTTTGACAAAGTTTACTGGATGTGTCCAGAACAGTGGCTCTAAATATTTCACTAAGTCTGCTACTTTTCCTTCCACAACAAAGAGCTGAAAATGTTTTCTTGTAACTTTAAGTTCTAGGATCTAAACATATTCAGAGAATTATTTGATTTTTCTACTCCTACCAATTACACAGTCATGTGGTCCACTGTGTTTTTTCCACTGTTAAATTCATAATACATACAAGATCATACAGTGAAAATTAATTTACCTACTATATTATCCTTATTTCTGATCACTCAAAAGACCATTTTTTGGGAGTGGGGGGTGAAGGAGAAGGAAGTATGTGTAGACTCAGGATATTCTTTCCTAGTCTATTTTTCTCGCTATACGTTATCATTCCCATTCTGACCTGAAAAAAATAGCAAAATCTGTAGCAAAGATTTTGAGATTGTACCAGGTTTAGAGTTCCAGTTCCAGCATAATTATATCAGTATTTTTAGCCAGCAGCAGCTCCCATTTACCAAGAACATAATAGTCCTGATTCTCTTCTCACACAATTGTAAATCAGGAGTAATTCCATTGAAATCAATGGAGTTACACTGCTGGCATAAGTGACAGGAAAATCAGGCCCACTCCCTCTTGCTGTTGAACAAGTTCCATCGCCCTGAGCCACACGTGGTAAGAGATGGGAACACCAACAGCGGAGACAGAATGGGAGGACGGGGGGTGGGGGGTGGGGAGCACAGAAACAGAACAAAGAAGGAAAAGAACAAAATTGGGAGCTAAATAGAGGGGAAGCAGAGACTAGAAGAAACAGTGAGAAGGAAATAGGGATGAGAGACAAAGGTGTGTGTTTAAAAACAAGGAGGGGAATTATACCTATGGGTTGGGGCAGAAGGTCAAAGACAAGGTGAGAAGTGTCAAGTTCTCTGGGTGACTGGGATTGCTGGGGCTGAAGGATGTGTGTCATCCCAGGACAAGGTAGGGTCTGCTGCAAAGAGCCATTCCTCTACTCTTCACCCTGAAAATCCTGGCTACTGCCCTGCCTGTCAATATTGAATGCTGGGAGTTATAAATTTATATTTTAAAAGGCTATATTATCTAATGTATGCTTTCTTTTATTCAGACCCTATATTTAGCGTGGTTCTATTGATCTATTCCAGCCTGGTCAGAATTTAGATGTGTAAGAACCATTTTAGTCCACAGCTAAAATACAGGAGTCAAAGGCTGAAGTCTTTACTCTGTTTTAACTCACTCCTTACTCAGGCAAAACTCTCATTGTTTTCAACTGATGTTAAATTCACTATACAGTCTAACTAAAAATGAATCATAATTGGGATCAATCTTCAGCTTGATACCTTTCAGAAACATCAATCCAAAAAAACAAAAACAAAAAAAGCAACTCCTCTGTCAAAAATAAATCAAGAAAACAGATTTACTTGTTGATATAAACCAAAGATTAATTTTTGGTTTTTACCTTCAACTGATACATACTGCAAAATATTATTCTGTACAGATCCTCCAATAAAGCTGCATCAGACCCAGATTTGACATATTCTGTTGGTGGCAAGGACAATAGTAAACTGTTTTATCACCTTGAGCAGCCAGCACTACATATTGCTGTGACATGCTCTCATGCTTTTTCATATTCAGATACTGTATATCTATCCTTTGAAGTACCTTATTCAATTCATCATCCAACTTCACATTCACAGTTTTAAAGACACTTCAGGCAAAGGGTGTCCTTTCAGTTGATCTATTTATTGTGGCAGTACCAGGACATTTTCTATGCATAATCCATTACTTTAGGGCTAAGAAAATAGTACAAAGAAAAAAGATTGTACAACATTCAGTGAGATACTCATAAACCCATCTAACTGCATCACAAGCAACCTTTATGTGCTTCAAAGACAACTCTAAATTCTCCAAAGCCTCAGCACTGTTGCACATTTTTAAATGACTTATTTCATGAAGAGAGAGGAATGTTACCTCGAACATCACTGAGCAGCATCTGAAGAGTAGCTGCTGAGCACACAGTCACAACTATTTTGTGCAAATAGTTGGTTTGACTAATGCTGACTAAAGCTATTCTTTTTTATGCACTAGCTTAATCATTATATACAGCAAGTATTCCAGTATATTCAGCATGCCTTATGGTTCATCTTTCATTACACAAACCAAGATGAAAGAAAAAAAATTGGGACACACAATTATCTGGACTTCCTAGACTCTTACTTTAAATAAAGTAAACAATACCTTGAAAAATATTGTCTTGGGATGTCAAAAATTTAGGGGGGGGCGGTATATACTTAATTAAAAGTTAAAGCTGTACATGAACTGTGAAGTCAGTCATGAAGTGTTTTTGTCAATGAACTGCTTTTCTGAAAGACAGCAGCAGAGATTCCTGCAAAAATCCAGAAAGGGCTTTATAGTCTAATACACCTCTATCTCACATAACGCTGTCCTCGAGAACCAAAAAAATCTTACCGCGTTATAGGTGAAACCTCATTATATCAAACTTGCTTTGATCCACTGGAGTGCGCAGCCCCGCCCCCCTGGAGCACTGCTTTACCACGTTATATCCGAATTCGTGTTATATCGGGTCGTGTTATATCGGGGTAGAGGTGTACATACTCAAATACGAACCATAAAAGCAATTTCTGATTGTCCCTCAAAACAATTTTTTTTGATTGCTCAGTAAGATTTTGGGGTCAGAGTTGTTCTTGGGAATGACTATTCTGTTTCTTATAATTATCTCTAACCCAGCTAGTCTGCATTTAGCAACAGTCCTTTAGTAAGTGCTCTAAATGTGCAAAATACACGACTATCTGAAGCAGTTGCAGTTTTTCACATTAGGAGTAGTGCTGGGCAAAATACTCAAACATTTTTCATCAAAACAGAAGCACTGATCCAAACATTCTACATTTTTCAATAAACGTTTGAGCAAATGCCCCTTGCCTTCACACTACAATCTGAAATATTGTGATAAATTCACACATGTGAATTGACAAACCTGCTTTTGGGAGCTCTCCCAAAGAGATTGGGTGGTCTAGTGGACCAAGTACAGATAGGAGCCAGCCAGAAGCTCTTGTCACAATTGTCACTGTAAGGATAAGGCCTTGTCCTGTAGCCATCCATATTGTAAGGCCTGAAGCCTAAGATCTTTGTCTGCAGCCAGATTAGAAGGCAACAGCCATTAGCGGAGAAGCAGGAAGTCACATCCTCACATTCCAGCTAAATTACTTTAAAATAATGTAATATTAGGCTGTTACGAAGGAGACCCCGTCCTAATGGCACCCACTATCACCAGATAAAGGAACAGATCTTAAGATGGTTAAAGAAAACTTAGTTTGATAGCATTCTGTCTGGCAAGAAATCACTTATCAATAGTTGTGGTTGTGAAATCTTAATTTCTTTATTGTTGTGTCATAATGGTCCCCACTTCCCTATTGTTTGTCTCTGTCTGGTTCTTTGATTGTTTCTGTCTGTTTTGTTAAGTATTAATTAATTAAGGTGGTGGAATATGATTGGTTAGAGAATTTTGTTAGGATTGGTTAGTAAAATTTTAGTAAAATAATTGGTTAAGGTATAGCTAAGCAGGACTCAAGTTTCACTATATAAACTGCAGTCCAAAAGAAAGTTCTTTGGAACCAACTCCAGAATACAGCCCCAAGAACAGAGTTGCCAGATCTCAACACACTGCCAATGACACCATGCAGAAACTGGAGTCCCCCAGATGGACCTGATCCTGACTATCCATCAAGAAAAGTTCATCTGTCTTATTGGGAGTGGTGAACACTGCATGCGTAGCCTGTGCATTCTGATTTTTGGTGGTTACATAGGATATTACTATTTAAGGCTCTTTCACTGGTAAAAGACCCCGTAAACCCGCAAAAGAAAGGATGTTTGCCCAGAGCCCATGGACGAGTAAAGTTAGGTGCCTTTCACCTGTAGCCCTAGGAACTGGGAAAGGGTGAGTGTTTAAATTAAGAGGCTTACGCCTTGAGTCCTAGGACCTGGGTAAAGGTGGATGTCCTAGAGTGGGCGAGTAACAGAGAATTGTGTGTGGGTAAGAGCTGCTGGCTGGCCCTTAAGATATTTTACAATTATACAGCAATTTACAAACACTGTTTAGTAGGTCAGTGTCATTTAACAAAATGGGTAAATTAATTCAAGGAAGTCCTGTGGCATGTGATAGACAGGAGGTCAGATTATATGATCACAGAGTTCTCTCCTAGGTTTATAATCTACGATCTGATACCCAGAGAGATTAAGTAATATGCCTAATCTCACACAGCAAATCAGGGTACGTTCTATACTGCCCAGTTAGCCCAGGCTCGACCCGCTTAGGTGTTGCCTATAACACCTCCTTTCTGCCCACACACAAAAGCCTGTAAAATGGTGCTTTCAACCCAAGCTAGATGGCACAGTTCGGGGTAATGGGTTAGAGCCCAAATTCTGCTTTCATTCAGGCTGGCAACTCAGCCACTTCTAACAATCTATACTGTGCCTCTTTCTTATGAATCCACAAGACAATGATAACACAATCTATATCACAATTGCCAATATTCCTCAAATGTGTTCCCACAATTGCCCCCCATCCCCCAGGTGCCCAAAGGCAGACAAGTTCTCCCACAATTAATCAGGAAAGAATCTTATAGAGTGGTCTAGCTGACTGCAGCACAAAGAACCAGGGATATTCCTATGTTCAAGATAGGTAATACTTTAACTGTGCACATCTCTCAGAGATCTCTAGCTACAGGCAAGTAGGTAAGTGTGTATTATTCCTATTTAATACACGGGGGAAAATGAGGCTCAGAAAGATTAAGCAGCAATAGAATTTGGGACCTGCTACTTCTCAGCACTGTGGCTTAATGTGCTAGACCATATGGCTTTTGGGGAGACATCACTTCTTTCTCCAAAGAAGACTGAGCACCTAGGAGCACCCAAGCTAAGAAGTAACTGTGACAGAAGCCCGGAGACCTTGTGGGGTTCTGACCCCACCAAACTTACAGTTGCCCCACCCAGAAGAACCTGGGACCCTAACAGGATGCCACCAAGGTCCATGACAGGGCATTACTAGACATGAACCACACAGTTGGACTAAAAGGGCCACGCTCCTAACTGGAGATACAGCAGTAGAAAGCAGCCCAGGGCAATATAAGTAGACTCCCTGCTGAGAGGTCCTCTACTCAGGCATTGACTTACCCCTGGACCTGGGCTGGGACCCAGTAGAGGGGAGGGCCTGCATCCCCCTATCCCCTCCCTTAAAGACTAAGGCACCTTGACTAAGCGGGGCAGGTAATCAAGTGCTCCAACCACAAGGCCATCTGGCCCTCCAAACACCCTGTTACAATACTAGATGAAAGAGACAGAATAAGAGAGAATACATATGTAATCATTGTACAGTGCTCAGAATTCATTTCTAGCTATCAAAAAACTTGGCTGCATGAAGCAGACACACAAAATACAGAGTAGTATTATATTTCCACCTGTTCTGTAGTTAACACCTCTTCAATCCCCATTGGCAACCTCTGAATCATACTCACAGTTTACTGACAAATGGCTCCCAACCTAGTCCATTTATAATGCAAATATCCTTATAAGGATATTCAAGAAATGTAGATTATTTCCTTTTTATGATAGGAAAATGTAAAATGATACTATAGTGATAGGGATATTAGAAATACCAGGTGAAATTATTTTGTAATTATAATCTAAAGGAAGCAGATAGTTGAAGGCAGCCTTATTTAAAGGTCAATCCAAATCCCACTGGGAGTCTTTCTTCAATCCTTTATTTTTATTAAAGAACTTCCATTATAAAAATTTCTGTTTAGAGTATGTATTGTGTTTAAGAGCAGAGCACATGGTAGGAAGAGCTGGTTAGAAGCAGTCTAGAGTTAGCTTCACCAGATACACAGCTAGGAGCACAAGGCTCTTCTTTGTCATATGTAACTCTGTTTTATTTCTAATAAAGTCTTACCTCTAAGAGTCCATACTGGGCCTCCTTCTTATGAATCCACGAGACAACACATGGTATCAGAAGTGGAATAAAAGTGAGGACAGAGAAAAGAGGATTGTGGTGAATAAGTCATCTTGGAGATGGAGCAACTAAAAGCCCCAAAGAGCGTGCATACGTGTGCACACACACAAGCAGCTGGCTTTGGTGAGAAAAAAAAGACCAGCAGAATATAATTTCTTAAATGTTGCAGTGGACTTATTTAATAGAATGCAAATAAAGCAAATTATGAAACTATTTTGCAGAAATTTGAAGAGTATTGCATACTTTAAATAGGTATTTGAAAAAAAGAGTATATTTGAATGGTATAAATTTCACCTTACAAGACAAAAGGAAGGA